TGTTAAGTTTGTATAGTTTTTTTATTTTTAAAAGGGTAACGTCATTCTATTCTTTATTAGGATGTTGTCATGTGTATACCTTTTCTAATGCCAGGTATTCTATAATTACAGTATCTCATGGATTGTGGATTCTTTTCTTCTAATAAAATTTGATGTGTTATCTAAGTGAACTTCATTAATCCAAATCAAACATATCTAACTTCAATACATGTTCACTTAGCATTACTCATACACACTGAATGATGTTTTTTCCCTTTTCTTCTTATGTAGCACTTACATTGTAGGTAGTATTATTGCATATATTGCAACATATGCAGATATATTATAGGTAGTAATATCGCCTACATTAATCAGTCTTGTTATTAACTTATTCATCTGAGTACCAACTTGGTTCTGGCAAACTTACTAATTTCTCATGTTTATGTGTGACTCTTGCCTTGATCATAAACAAAAGTATGAACAATCTGACCATACTTTTTCTTTTTTTGAGAAAGAATACTTTATCATCAATATTTATTTATCAAATAAACCTTCTATTGACAACATATAGTACTACTCACTATAAACCTATTTCTATGCAGTTGTTGCCTTGGTCGTGAACAGAAGTATGAACAACCTAACTATACTTTTTCTTTTGTGGAGAAAGAATACTTTATCATCAATATTTGTGTATCAAATAAGAACCTTCTATAACATTTAACTGGGGTACGGTTACAATGACAACATATGGTACTACTCACTATAAAACTATTTATGTGCAGTTGTTGCCCTTGGTTGTGAACAGAAGTATAAGCAATCTGTGTGTACTTTTTCTTTTGTTGAGAAAGCATCAATATTTGTGTATCAAATAAAAATCTTCTATGGCATTTTCAGAGACATGGTTACACTAACAATATATAGTAATACTCACTAAAACTACGTTTCTACTAAACTTCTATCTTTGTAAACTAAGCTACTGGATAACTAATGAAGACATTTTGTGATTGCTGATAAAATATTGTGGATTTTATGCAATACCTCTTCCTACAATAGAACTTCATAGAATAATCTGAAAAGGGATAATGATGGCAACTACTCTGTTAGCGCTTGCTATAAGCTTTTAACCTTAAGCCCTCCTCTCACACAACTGGCAATTGAACTTATATGGAAATGTATATAGGCTCATTACTTCTAGCCCTCCTCTCCATATTTATTGGTTTTATTTGAACAACATTGTGCAAGATTGTCTGACAAAAGGTTACACCTTATGTAATAGATTTTAACTTCGCTCCAGTAACTTAGAAGACATACGTTTTTCTTTACATTGTCCCATAGCTACTTAAGAATGCAAGTGTTCTATGTATGTTTGTAGTTAAATGGAATCATGCATGGTGATCTAAGAGGCGCTACCATCAGCTTCGGAAGGAAGATAGGAACACAAGGCTGTTTCGAATACGGTACTTGCTTGAATAATATGGACAAGCTAAAAGAAAGAAACTACTGATGTTCTGAAGATGCATCTGCGATATACACACGAGAATGCAAATACAGATTTGAAGATGCATCTGTGATATACACACGAGGGCGCAAATGTCTGCACCTTTTAACTTTTAGACTAACTTACAAGATGTATATAACTTACTACATAGCATTTGGTGTTAATTAACAAAGTTGACCACTTATCCTAAATTCTGTTGTTCAAGTGTTGGTCGTTGGGCCTGTGCTCTGCACGGGCAGCCAGCATCTAGTAATACTAATAATTGGCACCTTGAAGGTTTTAAAGTTCTTTAAATTTAGTTTGGAGTAGGTTTTGATGTTATCGAGGTCCGTTTGAAAATCCGAGCCTGAGAATAGTTCCGTATGGTAATTTAAGACTTGCATGCAAAACTTAGTGTCATTCCGAGTAGTTTAAGTATGTTTCGGTGCATTCAGAGTAAGTTGGAAGAATTTGAAGCTCATAAGTTGATCCTATTGGTTTTGGGTTGCAATTTTTAGTTTTGATATTGTTTTCTGCATTCCGAGGGTGAGGGCGCAAGTGAGTCCGTTTTATGATTTTCAAACTTGTTGCTTGTTGGTATGTTTGGACGGAGCCTCGGGGGGCCCGGATGCCATTCGGACGATGCACAGATTAAGTTAGGACTCAAAAGGGCTGCTGGTGCACCAGTTCTGGTGTGCCCGCACCTGCGAGCTTTTGGCCGCAGGTGTGAGCCCGCAGATGCGTGATTTTGGCCGCAAAAGCAGAGAGGCGTACGCAGGAGAGAGCTCGCTTCTACTATGAGTAGCCGCATAAGCGAGACTGCAAAAGCGCGATCCCGTCCGCAGATGAGACCAGCGCTCGGCCTGGGAAACTCCGCAGAAGCGGGCCTAGTTTCGCAGAAGCGGTACCGCAAATGTAGCCTAGTGGCCGCAGATGCGGAAGTACCGGAGGCAGAAAGCTTCATTTATCACGGGACTTAAGCCATTTCTAACCCAGTTCTCTCATTTTTTTTGGGCGATTTTGGAGCTTCTTGACATGGGTTTTCATCTAGCACTTTTAGGTAAGTAATTTTTATACAATATTAGTTTAAAACATAGATTTTGGGTAGATTGCAGCATATAAAATTATTGAAAATCATGGGTTTAGATGAAAAACCTAGGTTTTGATAAAAATGGTTTAACCACGAAAATGGTCATGGAATTGAGTGAAAGTTATATATTTGAGTTCGTGAGGTTATGAGTATCAACTTTCTTCGAAAATTTCCGGAATCCGGGCACGCTGGGGGTGAATTTTAGGAATCTTCCAATTTGGGTTGGATAATTACTCTAATAGTTAAATTATGAACTTTTGATCATTTGTATTGATTAATTTATATAACATTTGACTAGTTTAGAGTCATTTGGCACCAAGTTGAGGATTTAAAGCATATTTGTGGATCGTAAGTGAACTTGAGAACGAGGTAAGTCTCTTGCCTAACCTTGTAAGAGGGAACTCATCCCCTTAGGTGTGCTTTGTTGTAAATTACTTGTGTGGGGAGCTACGTACGCACTTGGTACGTAGTCCGTGCATAGATATATTCCATGTGATGTCCGGGTAGTCTTAGATTTACATAATGTTTTGTTGGCACCGTTATTTGATTATGCATATTAATCTATCTATCTATATTATTATAAAAGCATGAATACAATGTCGGTTTACAAAAATAACCTTATAATATTAAGCATAATAACTCATAATAAAAGGACATAATCGGAATTTTAGATAGCTAGCCTTATAATCCTATTAGCTTTAGGACATAATACTACATGTTAGAAATCATACATGATTACCTTTAGGAATCCTATTAGTATAATTACTTTCGGGCTGTCTAATTCATATAAAACTGAACAATTAAATATCTTAGTCATCAATCCTATTACTTTTAGGATATACATCTTAGAATTCCTATTACCAATTTAATTTGAAAACGTATTATAATGTCCTATTACAAATTTAATTTGATTGTATTATTTGTCCAAATTCATTTTGAAAAATGAGAGCTTATATTATTATAAAAGCATAAATATAATATTAATATATCAAAATAGCTCTAAAATATTAAACGAAAGAACTCATAGAGAGAAGACATAACTGCAATAACCTATTTTTTTGGATAACATTACCTTCTATGCTAATTTTTACTAATATTTACAATTTTAAAATAAATAAAATCTTGTCTATTTGTCACGACCAAATTTCATTACAGGTCGTAATGGCGCCCAACACCGTTGTCAGGCAAGCCAACCCGAAGATATTAGTGTGTTCTCATTTTTTTACTTTACCCAAACTACTCTAGCATTTTCTTAGCTTGAATTGAAAACAAGTGATAATTAGCATCATAAAGTAATAGATATACAACCCAAAAGAATAGTCTACCAACGTGTGTGCCAAGACCTGGTGTCACAAGTATATGGTCATATAGTAGAATATACAAAAGAATAAATCTATCCTACGACCTGGAACAGAATAGACAGTCAAAAACAAACAGAGACTCCATCATCCTGCTGAACGGCATAGGAAGGGAGCAGCTCACCGCGGAGTCTCGGCCTACTATCAAGGATGCGCACAAGACGGATAGCCAGATGTACCTGCCTCAGATCATGTACATTTAAGTACAGAAGCGTAGTATGAGTACATAAACAATATGTACCCAGTAAGTATCCAGTCTAATCTCGAAGAAGTAGTGACGAGGGGTCGACATGACACTTACTAGGGTCAAATAATATAAGGAAGTGTTATGCTAAGCATGGATAACATAAATAATTAACAATTTATAGCAAGAAGTGATAGGTTCTTTCCTAGATGATACCACAGATAACCATTTACATTTCGGGGCATTTAACACAGTTCAAATCACAGAATGTACCTAGCAAGAAGCATGCGTAAGTAATGCCGAGGTCGTACGGCCCGATCCAACATAAAAATAAAGTGTGCACTGTCGGAGGGTCGAACGGCGTGAACCATAGATGAATAGACAGTCAAAAACAAAGAGAGACTCCATCATGCTGCTGAACGGCATAGGAAGGGAGCAACTCACCGCGGAGTCTCGGCCTACTATCAAGGATAGGCACCAGACGGATAGCCAGATATACCTGCCTCAGATCCTGTACATTTAAGGGTGGCAAGTGGGCCGGTTAGGCCCGGGCCCGGCCCGGGCCCGCGAGCCCATATGGGTAGTGGGCCTAAACGGGGGCCCGGGCCCGCGAGCCCATATGGGTAGTGGGCCTAAACGGGCCTACCCGTTTAAGCTCGGGACCAGGGGGTTTGAGGCCCAAGTGGGCCGGTTCAAAGAATATGCCCCTTAGGACAGGGAACGTTTGGGCCCGGGACCGGCTCCTAATTTGGCCGGTTCAACCAGTCCCAAACGGTCCTAAATGGGCCCAAAGGCTAAATTTAAAAAAAAAAATCTCTTTTAAAAATATGACCGTTGCACCTTTAAAAAATAGCCGTTATGGCTGCCAAAATAGTCGTTGGCTATTTATAAAATAGCCATTTAACTCCCCCCCCCCCCCTCCAACTTGTTTTAACTTTACAATTACACTTTTTCCCTATTTTCAACTATAAATACCCCCTCATTCTTTCATTTTTCTTCACCAAATCATCAATCTCTCTCAATATCTCTCTAATTTTCTTCTAAAATTGGTTACTTTGTTATTGCTACTTGTGTGAAAATTTGTGAAGTTGGTGAATTAAATTATTCAAGTCTTCAAGTCTTCAACGATAATTAATTTCAACAAGTTGTTTGTCAATTCGGTAAACTCGTTCCAACTCTTTAGTTTTAATATTATGCTTTTGTTTGTTTTATTTAATTACTTTGTATAATTATAATTAAGATGGCATATTCCTTAAAAAAATGTTTAGTAAAAATAAGGGAAAATCCAAGAATGGTGAATCTAGTGGCCAATCTATTCCTCCTCTAATTCCCCGGCCTCCCCTACCCAAACCCCATACCCGCCCTCCACCTGCTCCTATTCTTGATAGTGATAATACTTTATTACAATTTACGGGGAGTCAATATGTGCATAATGTCGGTTGTGGTGAACGCTTAGATGATGAATATATGAACAAACTTTATGGTAATCCAACTATAGGTGAAGAAGATGAGCAGGAAATATATTTAGATGAAACGCAGCCGGATGATGATACACCCACTAGTCCTGTTACTCAAGTTAACCCAACTAATCCAAATGATGCCCCGGTTGACCCCCCAGTTACTACCCCTACTTTTTCTAGACAACCTTCTAAACGGGCCGAAACATCTCTTATTTGGCCATTTTTTATTCAAATAAGAGAAAAAAATAAAGCTAAGTGTAAAACTTGTGGCAAAGAATTAGCCTTTAACTATGTTGAGCGGGGGGAGGGGGGACGGGAAGTTTGAGGAGACACATAATGATACACCCTCAAGATAAAGCTAAGTTTTTTCAAATGAAAGCTGCGGCCGGGGGAGGGGGGCAAGTCCAACTAGTCAGCCTGACCCTAGTACCGGGTCAAATCAATTTCAACCGGGAATTTAACACTGTTATCGGTGGTATTTTATATTATGACCCAAGAAAAGATAGGGAAGAATTGGCAAAAATGGTTACTGTTATGTGATTACCCTACAGTTTTCGGTCTAACCCCCACTTTGTGCATTATATTAGAAAAGTTTTTAATCCTACTTATAAAGGATGGCCTCGCACAACCGTAAAGAGTGATATTTATAAATATAAACATGAATATGAACAATATTTGCGCTATTTATTTACTCATATTAATTGTCGTGTTGCTATTACCACTGATATTGGTAGAAGTAGTAATGACTGTGATTATCTTACTGTTACAAGTCATTGGAGTGATGAGGACTGGATAATGCAAAAGCGCATTATTGCTTATAGAATAATTAATTCACGTCACACAGGGCAGTTTATTTCTAGCACTATTACGGATATTTGTAGATGTTTTTGCATTAGTGATAAAATAATGTCAATTTCAATGGATAATGCTACTAGTAACGCTAATGTTGTAGCCTTGCTTACCACTACACTAAATCCTGTATTTAGTAACATTTTTCATGTTAGATGTATTTGTCATATTTACCATTTAATTGTGGGTGATGGTATGAAAATTTTAAATGTTGAAATTGAAAAGGTTAAAATGGCTCTTAACTGGCTTTTTTATTCAAACCGTAGAAGTAGAATTAGAGAATATTTTAAAAGATGCGATGAGTTTGGCCTAAGAGAAAAGAAAGGTTCCTAAAGCTTGTCCAACTAGATGGAATTACAT